ATTTTTCATTTTTTAGTTTTGTATGCTATAAAAGCGTGTTTTTTAGCCTTTTTCTATATTTATTCTATCTAAACTTTGAGATAAATCAGCCGTATATTGTTTAGAAAAATGACCATTGATATTTTCCAATTCCGGAGAGAGAGCCTGAAAATCAGTTACCAAGCCCAAGGCATCAGGCGCGCAGAGGAGGAATACAAATAAGGTAGCAGGCGCGCGTGTTAATGAAAAAATACTTTTTTCAAATGAAGAAATATATGTAAAGTGAGTTCAAATTATATCAAGGAGGTTACATATAGCGCCATCTGCCCGCGAATAGATCAAGCAATAATGTCGATAATTCTGTCAAATACAGATCCCAAGCTTGAGAGTTACAAACAAACAAACATGCATAGAGGTGAAGCTAATAAAAGTGTGTTAGAAAAACTGATTTTCCTATTTTGAAGTTTTATGTTGAGAAGTGGTATGGAACATATGTTGTAAACATATGTATATATAAACATACTTGAATGAAACATTATAACGGAGACTTCGAATTTTGTCAGAGGTTTGGGTCACCCTATAGATCTGTCAGTGACCATTTCATCGACGCGCAATAAATGGAAATAACACCCATTATATTATTCATTTATTTTGTATACATTATAAATTGTTATTTTGGTCGAGATAACTGTAGACGCCACTATAATGAGAACAACCTTTGCACCAGATAGACGGGATCTATGAAGTCGAATGCGTGACTAAAAACATCTGAGGCGGGTACAATTGGGTCGTCGTCGACATATCTTGATGTGAGGCAGACTGTTAGCTTGTAGGAAGGAGGCACTTCGTTGGTAATTTCAATAATTAACGCCGGTTCATCAGCAAGTAGTCCTGAAAAAGAGAAAGGATATTTCAGTCTTCAAAGCTTTTATTTTTGGCCGATATATTTTTTTGTCACAGTCACTGTTGGGACTATTACCCACTATTATTGTCCTACATATCTATCTTTGCCTTCCAAACCGTTATTTTAACACATCGACACGTGTTTCGATCACCAAGTGATCATCTCCAAGAGGAAGATCAAGAGGAATATCAGTTTTGATTTTCCTCTTGAAGGAATATCAGTTTTGATTTTCCTCTTGAAGATGATCACTTGGCGACCGAAACACGTGCCGAGGTGTTAAAATACGGTTTGGAAGGCAAAGATAGATATGTAGGACCTGTTCTCAACCTATGACATCGAAAGTGATCGTAATCAGTCAGAGATTTGGCGTCCAACATTTCTAAAGTTTTTCCGATAGCTCAACGTTTGCATTACAGAGAATGAATAGGAATAGGTAGGAATTCAATAGTCGACCAGTAAAATATAGGGATATATGCTGTCAGCAACACTACCTATCAAAATAATGTGTTGAGTTTGCCGTTAAATATTCGAGCACTTATCAAAGTCTGTATGTATTATTATCATTATTCTTTTTTCTAAGTGAGGCACTATTGAGCGATTCTCAGTCAATATTTCCCTACGAATTCAAATTGAAAATAAAGCGCTGCAGAAACAGCTCAAAAAATTAACCTGGCATTTGACAATGACAGTTTGTGATGCACTGTTTGGATCCCGCAAATTTCAACGGAATAGTACATTAAAAGGAATATAATGACTCATTTGGAATGGAAGCTTAGTGATGTTCATAGTTATCATGCCGTACTTTGCTATCTGTAGACTTTCGAAAGCATCTAAAAGTCTAGTGTCTTGTACCGATATCAACAATTTCAATTTTCGTTCATTCTATGTTGTTGAAATTTTTGTATTCTCTCACGAAAAAAAAATCAGCGAATTTCTAGTTAGGAATTAATTTTCTTCATCTCCTGAAATCGCCAACTTGGTGAATGATTGACAAAAGTGCTTCTTTTGTGGAGAAAAAAGAACTGTTAATCTTTCTTCGTTATAGTGGAAGAATGAATAAATCAAATAATTTTTCACTGTCGATGCAGTCAGTATTCGAAGTTCTTGAAAAATGTGTACACTTACCTGTGGGTCGGTCTAAACGCAGGCGGTAACAGATCTCCGGTCGAATAGATTCTTGCGTTTGTATGGACCTGCGCCGTAAGTGGAATAAATGACTGCCGAGTGCGCATATTAGCGTGACTATAAATAAGCAGTTCTCAAATTCTAAAAGAGATAATATGTTATGCATTTTGATTCACTTGAGTAACTCACTGAACAGAATGAAACTGATACAAGTAAGAAAATTTTGCTTTGGCTTTATGTAAGAAATACCTGCGGAAGATTAGCACAGTTTTCAAGGAATATAGAAATTAAGGTATAAATAAACTCTGGGGATTTGCTTTCATCCGATATTCAGAAAAATGCGTAACTCCAAATTCTCTGTAAATGATCTGAATAGGTTGGTATTTAATATTTGCTTTGGCTTTATAAGAAATACCTGCGAAAGATTAGCTCAGTTTTCAAGGAATAGAGAAATTAAGGTATGAATAAATCTGGTGTTTTGCTTTCATCCGATATTTAGCACAATGCGTAACTCTAAATTCTCTGTAAATTATCTGAGAAGGATGGTATTTAATATTTGTTCTTGAGCCGGATGACATTCAACTGAACATTTCTGATAAACCAGACATTTTCACAGACAATTACCCACTGATTAATTTTTCAGGGCCCAAACTGGGTACTTTGAATCATAATTCTTCATAACTGTATATCTCAATTATGTACTGTATATCTCAATTATGTAGACAGAAGAATTCTAAGGCAACATGGAATACTCTCAAATCTCTTGAAGTACTTCGACATAATAAAACTCCGGCTATTCCGCCGTTTTTGAAAAATTTGAATCTGATCTTTGATCTGAATGAACATTTCGTTAATATACCACAATATTTGAAAAAAACCGCCAGTCAATTAGCTGTATGCGAAACATATTACAACCTAAATATGAACCAGAGTTTATTTTTCATAATGTAAACCCGTATGAAGTGAATAAGCACTTTAATAAAATCAGTAGTAATGCTATGTGCTCTGATGAAATCTCAATTCGTATGTGGGATTTATTGGAATACATAACATATAATGCTCAACTCACTTCTTACTATACTGGTAAAATGGCATTCGTTACGTGTTCAGAGATAGAGTGTCCATAAACTCTCTACTACCTACTACTTAAATGTTGTTGAGTTTTACCTGTGTTCTTCTTCTTCTTAGTTGACCTCATCTCCCCGTTAAGGTATCGAATATTAAATCTGAAGTTTTCACGGATAGGAATATGCTAAACTGGTTTTTCCGGGTATTTGATCCGTGTATGTGATATTATCTCTAGTTTCACCGACGTTTCGACAAAATCTCATTTGTCATTATCTAGGTGTGCTGTTACGTGTTCTTCAGATTTGATATTCGATACCTTAACTGGGAGAAGAGGTCAACTAAGAATAAGAAGAACACAGGTAAAACTCAACAAAATTTAAGTAGTAGGTAGTAGAGAGTTTATGGACACTATCTCTGAACACGTAACGAATACCATTTTACCAGTATAGTAAGAAGTGAGTTGAGCAGGGTCAAAAAACTTCTGAACACGTAACAGCACACCAATGATGGCCAAAGTATTTCACAATTGACTCGCCGATTGAGAGGTCCTTATGGAATATTCCCCACTGCTGAAAATTTTGATTTGGAAGGTTCATCAAAGATCGTTTTTGTCGAGGTTATTATTGTTCGACAAATGGATATATTTTTTTATCTCTTGGAATCTATTTCTGGAAATCACATTGGCAACAAATGACACTCTGACATCATCATCAACACACCAGTATAAACGTTCGTGGGGCAGCCGATGATATCCTGACAGTAACAAGATTCCAATGAAAATTTTCATATCCGTTTCTGACACAAAAAATTCATGGTCATTTTTCTGGGTTGAATACGTATTCGTTTCTCGAACCAGAAGGTTCCATACACTTTTGTCCCATAATCTTTCAAATACTTCATCTGGAGTCATATTCGATAGTTCAGATTTAACAACTTCTATATGATCTATATATCCTGTGGTCTCCAAAATTCCAATATCAATTACATCATTCGTCCATTCTGGTTCTGAAACATTGAAACTTTCAGCCTGTGTTTTGTCATCCAATATCTTCTGACGAACATGTGACAATGGAATATTCCAGCCTTCATCGTCAAACTCTAATTCCTCTTGATCATCACCTAAATAGTGAAGTTCAACCTCACTTGCAACATCTCTCGGAAGCCGTGTTTGCACCCCTTGAATGTTATCATCATCTATTTCCTCGTCATCCGTTTGTGGATCATCATTGGGAGGAATTATTACAATGTGCACTTCATCCGTATTTTCTAATGAGCAAATGTCATTGACTGCTGGTGCTAAAGATTTGAACCGTGTACCATAGAATTCACTACATGATAGAGTTCGGAATATTTCAGGATTTATCTGTAACAAATAATGTGAAATAAAATTTGGAATAAACCCACTGTACTCAAATGGTCCTTTATCGCTATCAATCAACGGTTCAAACTTCAAAAATTATAGGTTAAGTGCATCACACAAATCTTCATTAGGATCCAAATGATCATTTAATTATATACACGTTCAGATAACATTCCTGAATTATCGAATATATAAATAGTAAACTTACCTTCGAGTCACGACCTGTGTGAAGTATCAAAGTACTGTTGTATCGCGTATTGGATAGGGCTTTGAATAAACTGTTCAGGTTTGTGCTCTAGTTCAGTGATGAGAAAGAGCGTAAATGTTCAGTAATTGAACCATTTATTCATAGATGTCACCAATATGATATTTTACCGGTTGTACACATTAGAGTACACTGGGAACGAATGGGTTTTGTCATATTGTTTTTCAATCTCATCTTCTCTCAAACAATGTTTTTAATTACTGAAATCGTTCCAGAGTTAACAAAAACCATAATTACTACACTACGATAAAAGTATTACGCTCAAAATAAAAATATATTTTACGGAATGAGTTCCTGAGGGAACTAGTAATCTACCCGAAATATTTCAATTATCAAAAATTTGTCAACTTTGTGAGAACGATGACATACAGTATGAAGGCTTTCAAGGCTGGAGTCATACTACTGATGATGTCTGCCACAGCAGCAGACGAAACGTGTTCCAGATTCCATTCGACCATGGCCTACTAGCCTGCGTTTCGTTCTCTTCAATCAGGATGAAATCGATTGAAATTATCTTGGTTGAAATCTTCACATCGAGCTTTATCAGGGATTCAAATAGTAAAATTTTGAACAACTTTCGTCATTTTCAATTTTTTTCTGTACGTCAGGAAGTGACTATGAAACACATCTCAAACGATTTTCTACCTATAACTAATTGAAAGTCAATCAGTCGAAAAATTAATTTAATTCCATTCTCACATGGTAACAGAAATAATAATACCTCATAACGTAAAATATATAATCGAGATTTTTCTTCCAAAGATAAATTCTTATCTATATACACTAAAATACACATCAGTTGATACCCTACATAAATGTTATGTAGACTTCTAGCTACACCATCGCTTCATTCTCAATCTTCGGTTATTTTAATAAATTCTTCTGTACAAAAGATCACAAACTTCTTCACATTTCTAAATACTATTGAGTAAAAGTGCTTCAATTGAAAGTCAGTCCAGATTTGACTATTACTCGAAGTTTGAATCACAGATAAACCCAGCATACAGCCTTTTTGAGTTATAAATAGTGCTTCAGTTCGTTGTGGAAGGCTTTGGTGCTACTACTATGACTGCAACGGATGAACTTTCACCTTGTTGCTTTGCTGCTGCTAACCTCATTGCTTCTTCATATGAGGGAGGAGCTGAAAAAAGAAGAGAATATTATGAGAACATAGGCTCTTACGGCCGGAGTCACGATTAGAGAAAACAGAGTCCTGGCTGGTATTGAAGCACCAAATATTTCCACTGGTACAGGCATCATCAGTAGTATGACGTCCTCGCAGTCAACGAACATACCATTGATGATGCCTGCCGCAGTAGCAGATGAAAAGTTTAGTACTTCAGGGCAAGTTTAGCACTCGGACACATACCAAAAATTTGGAGACTGATCAGGGCCACCTTCATTCCGAAACCTGGGAAAATCGGAAAAGACTCGGCCAAGGCCTTGAGACCAATTAGGCTCATGTCATTTGCGTTGAAAGTGTTAGAAAAACTACTTGACAGGCATATCAGAGACGTATCACTGGCTATCAGACCATTACACCGAGACCAATATGCATACAGGTCAGGTATGTCAACAGGAACGGCTCTATGTCGGGAAACAGAAAGAGTAGAATATACTTACAAAAACAAAGAAATACTTTTAACTGCTTTCTTGGAAGACAAGCTGTAGGTGAATAGACTGCATGCTTAGGGGAAGATTGGTCTATACAACCATTATGGGGGAAACAGTTGTGGCGCGGGTAGCAAGGGGCTGTCCTCAGGGGGATGTTATATCCCCTCTGTTATGGAACCTTGTAATGGACGAGCTATTATGTCTCTTGGGTATGAAGCACTGGGCTATGCAAACGACTTAGTCATCTTAGTCCAGGATAAATACAATAATATAGTGAAGCAGGCCCTGAATATTATAACAAGATGGATCGAAGAAGAAGGGATTAACATAAGCCCATCCAAATCAACCATAGTAGCATTCACCTAGAGGACTAAAACGGAGGGTCTCGGACCTCTAAAACTTCGAGGTGAAGAAATACAAGTGTCGGCGGAGGTTAAATATCTGGGAGTAATCCTAGATTCCAAACTGACCTGAAACCAACACTTGGAAGGGATAAAGAGGAAAGCGGAGGTAGCACTGATGCTCGCCAGACTCACCTATGGAAAAACATGGGGGCTGAAACCAGACATGGTATATTGGCTATACACGATGGTGATTAAACCCATGATAACATACGCATCTCTGGTCTGGTGGCCAAAGATGAAGCAGGCGACCGCCATTAACAAACTAGGCAAGGTGCAATGACTTGCATGTTTGGGAATGTCGGGATCAATGAGAACTACCCCAACAGCTGCATTGGAGACACTCCTAAATCTACCTCCTTTACACCTTATGATAATGGTGGAGGCCAGGATGAGCCAATTCAGACTGGAAAACTTACCGAACTATAAAAGATCGGACCGAACAGAAATTTCGGAACAAGTGAAGGAGCACATATTGAATATGTGCACGGACCACATGACACCGAAGTACACCTTTAACACAAACTTCTGGGTATTTAAAAAAGTGGTTTTTTGAAAAGAAGCCTCAAAGCAGTTTTCTGCTTCAGAATGGCGGTTTCCATGCACATCAACAAAACCTACAAGAACCTGAAATTGATTCTTTGCAAAATAAAATATGAAGACCTCTGTTGGTGGGTGTGCGGTGATTTGAAAATCTTGAGCAGGTTGCTTGAACAATAATCTGGGTTTACCAAATTCCCTTGTTACTCTATTTATTTCAAGAATTAGTAATTTTTTTGAACACTGACTTCATAAAAACAATCATATTCAATACTTGATCTCAAAATATCAGAAAACCATTTAAATTAAAATGTTTTTCATTTTTTCAGGTAGAAAATTTTAGAAGTAGATCTTTTATCATTCGTATCCTCAAAAGTCATGTCACATTGTTAACTCTTCTTCTGATTTTTTTTAGAATGGCCTTTAGGGTTTATCCGTCAAAATTATTAATTTTATTAATTTGTTGAGATAGCTGAGCTGTTTGAAATCAGTGTAACAGGTCCTCAGTTTCCTAACCGATTTCAAAAGCATATTCAATTTCTTTGGAAAATGACGAGTCATAAAGCAGTAATTAGTTAGTTGAAAAATAGGTTATTGATACTCTGATGCTGTTTTCATCTTCATGTACTGAATTCAACGGAAAAAAGTGCAGAGAATACAACCGAAAGACTGAAAAAGTAATTGTAAAAATTATAATTGCAGATAATCCTAGATAACCTCATCCAATTTGTGATCCCAAACCTTGGTAGATAAGCAGCCATTGATATTAAGAAAATTCAAGGAGAGAAATAGGCAAATGATTTGCACGGGTTTAGTTTTTATTTTCATACTTTTGAAATGTTCTTATTAATGTATTTCCTTTTTTATTAGTACTCTGTTATTCCCATATATATTTTTTAGCGTATTGTTTTTTTCGTGGTGTTCTTGTATAGGACTGAATATTTATTAGGTAGTTGAATAATGTACTTTTATCTCGAAACAGGTGTTTACTCACATATTGAACATGCATATCTATGCAAAAAAATATTCACCAAATGTATTTGTTTGTGTTTGTTTTTGATATTACACTGTCATTTCCATATATATTTTTTAAGTGTGATGATTTTTTCGTAATGTTCTTGTATTAGATTGAATAAACTTTTTTTATGTAGTTTAGTGAGGTAAGTGTTTGCTCACTTATCGAGTGGGTATCAATTATGCAAAAAAAATGTATTTGCTGTACATATTATCTCTCTTTTTTTATTAATAAATGATATTATTATTATTAATCATTGAGGCCATTGTTCCTGTCCTTGTACACGACTGCTGATGTTGAAGATATCTTCCTGTTGGTGGGCTGTAACAAAATACAAAATACATTACCTAAATATTTGTTCAATTATTTTTTCACAAATTGATCGAGACAGTGTTGACCATCCAAATCATTTTGATCATCCATATCTTTCAGATTTATTTTTCTATATCGAGGAATCGCATGTTGAAAAATAAGACCTCGTTAGCTCGCACAAGTTTCGACTTTTGATAGTTTTTTTCGTAGGGGCGACAGCTGGTCCAATTTCTTTCATTAATTCAAAAAGTTTATCTATGAGGAGGTACGGTAACGAGCTAGATCAATAAAACCAACAATACGATTGATTCTGGTTCTACATCTACAAAATTCGAGTTTTATTTCAATTTGAGGTTTGCCTTGCATGGATAGCTCTGAGCGATTGAAGCATATATGTTTATTATTAAAACTTTATGATTGTATCTGTGTTACTGAATAATAATAATAATAGTAATAATAACCGCATTTGGGCTGCAAAAATCCCGCTACAGGTAATGTTAAAATTGAAAGGGTATGAATGTTTAAAGCGATATACGTTTTTGGGAAAAAAAGCCTTTCGATTTTCCACTTTTTCTTCATATTAAAAAGGTATGAAACAATTCAAAAAATAATGTTTTTGTGCCCTGTTCAGATATTATTTACTACCACAAAATCCCTTTCTCTAATTGAATAAGAACTGAAAAAATGGTCCAAACTTACTTTCTGGCAATAGACATATTATCCTCAAAAGTTTCAAAACAGTTTTCTTTTTCCTTTCAATTATGCACTGCAAATAGGCACCGATAAAAATAATTATCGACACCATTATCACTAATACAATCACCGTTTTTACCATTTTGATTTTTACTAGTCTTTGGCAATGAAATAAACCAATAAATGCGTAACCCCTGTTTAAATACTGGTAAGATGCATTTGATATTAATGTTATTTCAAGAATTTGCAAGAATTACTGTCCTTGAAAGAGGCTTTATTCAGGAGGGTGGATTACCTTCTTATGAATTATAAATTGCTACTAATTATGGTTATGAACGTCTCTCTGAATTCATTCGAATGCTAATAAAACACTACCTATTATTTATAAACTGAAATGTACAGTGTCATCTCCAAAGTATGCACCATATAGAAAACTTATTTATTGAAGGATTTTCGACAAAAAGTTATTCTTGATAAAAGTTTGTGCATCCCCTAAAACTAAATAATCACCAACAAAATACAGTACAACACACTTAATATACGAGGAGCCTTCAAATATTTGATTTTGTGACAAGGGTAAAGTACTCTTATTTTTAAAAATCTCGGGAAATGTTATTTAGAAAAGTTGTTTAGCATTGAAAAATATATCTATATTTGAAATCATGGCCATCTAAGTGAAGTTTTATTTCTTCACCCATTTTTTTCAAATGTGAATTACGAAAAACAAATTTTTGCCAAAACGATAAATAGACAGCATTCTATATATGACGGTTCATTTCAAAAGTCTGTAATATTACAAATTACACAACTGTTGTGTTAACCACGGTCGATTTTTTTGAAAAGTAAATTGATTTTCAAAGTTTTTGGTGCAAAATGATTTTTA